CACGCGCACAAGTTCATTAACGTCTTCTTAACAGTAACCGTTAGTCGTGAAAAAAAGTTAGCTGTAAAATGGGCAAAATTTTAACCTTTAGCCGTAAAAGCCATCACCCTATTGACACACTCTACCATTTTCATAAATGGATCTTTTAACTCGTGGCTGCGATATTCCTACAGGTTTAAATATAACAGTTACCTTTCCTAAATCGTCAATGATGTCTTGATTCGGAATATGCTTTGTAAAATCCTCTTTTTCAGCCAAGGCTAAGAATCAGATAACAACGGAGAGTTAATTACCCTGAAAAATTTTCAACAAGATTGTACATAGCCCCTAGATTCCGAAAGAATAAGTTGTAGCTTTGCCAGACACATTCATGCTGTTGTAAACACCCCTTCCAACGCTGAGAACTCTTTAAATACGTTGATATATAAAATAACTTTAAGTTGGTACAACAATGCTCTATGTTTTGCCTGCCGGCACTATCTGTTCGTCTCTCAGAGAACGTAATGTCCGAGGACAATGTTCGAGTATTTTCCGCGCTTAAGAGAGGGTATTATGAACACTATCCTTCAAATATTTTTTTAAGCGCTTGAAAAAAACCGGGTTATCACCAAAAACGGATGTTATTGTCTTGATTATTGCGAGGAGATAGTCTGAGTTGGTCACTCACGGTAGTGAAAGGTTTTGGAGCACAGACAGTATCAACCAGCTAAATTAAATTTACCAACAAGTTGGTACAAAGAGAACTGTTTACAGGGAAACTTTACTAAATATGGTAGCATGCTCATTAGCAAGCAAAAAGATGCCAATGTCAATATTGACATAGACGGTAATAGAGTTTCCCAATATCAGAACATTAAATTATTAGGTATAGGCATTGATTCTCAATTGACTTTTAATGTCCATATAAGTGAGATTTGCAAAAAAGCTAGTCAGAGGGTGGGAGTAATGACAAGGTTGCGCAACTTGATACCAACCACTGCTAAGCTGCAGCTGTATAAGGCTGCAGTCTTGCCCTATTTGACTTACTGCAGTACTGTATGGCACTTTTGTAGGGGAAGTGATGCAAGAAAAGTGGAGCATGTCCAGGAGAGGGGTCTAAGGGCAGTTTTCCGTGACTGGAACGCTAACTATAGGCAGCTGTTAGAATGGGCTAAATTGCCCACCCTAGTGAACCGTAGATTGCAAGATATAGCGACCATCATGTATAAAGTAAAATTTAAGCCAGCACCAAGCTATATACAAGATTTATTTTCAGCAAATCACACAGTGTATAACTTAAGAGTTAAAGAATTTACTATTCCAAGATTTAACTCTATTAATTATGGCAGGTATTCCCTTAGGTATTTAGGACCTGTGCTATGGGCTAAGCTACCTTCCCGTATTAGGACGTTGAATTCACTAGCGGGTTTTAAGAGGGCAGTTAGAGGAATGGATTTGAAAATCTTAATGGACGATGATGGCTGTGTGGGCTGCTTGGTTTGCAGTGCATGATTCTTAGTTATATCTTAGTTAGGCTCAGACTATTCCTCCCCCCCCTCTCACGTCCTAAGGTCCCCTAGCCTACTTCTGCTGATCACAAATTTTATGCTATTTATTCGTATATTTTATGCTATTTATTCGTATATTAATACTTAGTTATTTATTATTTTATTTCGATTATCTTGTTGTGTCCTTACTTAGTGGTTTTATTACTGCTATTTTATAATTGACACATGAATAAAGTTCATCATCATCATCTTTTTGTGAGATCAAAGCCGGCAAGACAAACCCATCTTGCCTGTTTGGACAGTCGACATGAAAACGGGATTCCCTTCATCTAGCCTGCGAGCAGAACTAGCCTTTTACAAATAACGCCACAAACAAAGAACAGAAAGTTACAGAATGTTCATTAAACAATACACATAATCACCATTTTGCATCCTTTCGATGTCCTCATGGAAGCTATAGTAGTTACACAGGCCTGGTCGCATGGATTCACGGTACTTCTTGGCCAGCAGAACTGTCTCTTCGTGTATAATGTCAGGAGAGCCAGGAAAACTTCTAAAGAACTGCACAGGATGAAATGTTTTTATGTTTTCGAATAATAGCTGACTGATGCAGTTTTAAAAGTGGTTATAGGAAAAAAAATTGAGTTCGCCTCCCATAAGTATTCCAACCTGGTGTGGTTGTTCTGTTCTCAAAAACTGAAATCTTATTTGTCCGTTGAGTCAAATGCTTCAATTTTTGTCAAGCCAGTCATGCCTATTGTATGGCTAGGATCAACAATGTTGGAAGCGGCTTGGTTGTAGATGGAGTATTTAGAAAGATTTGGTAAACACATGCAGCAAAGGCATTTTTCAAGTAAAGATATCAAAAACTTTTAAGGAGCGCAAGGAAAAACATGAGTCCTCTGTGAGGATTTCAAGACGATTAAATAAATTTTACTGACAATTGCAAGAAGCTTCTATGAACAAAAATTATGTCCCAGTGGTTGCTGGGAATCCTTCTGCAATAGAGAGCCAGACTGCCAACATCTTAATTTTGCAAACAGAACTTTTAGCACAACGCTCGACAAGATTGCTGGAAATTTTTGAAAAGTATCTAATGAGTCTCTTGGCCTAGATAAAATCCAAGGTCATAACAGCCACAAATTTATTCCCAAGTATTTTATAGATCAGCCTCCTAAATGAGAGGCAATGACATTCTTCTCTGAGAAATGCTTGAAAACCCTTTGGATATTTCAGCACTGGTGGTAGACTACAGTGAAGTAAAGTGCTTCAAATCAATCTGTAGAAAGCTTTTTCTGGCCGCAAGAAAGAATTCAAGCACCATTTTGCTCACCTGACTCTCCGTTACAACACCAATGTGATGCTTATCAAAGTCAGCATAACATGTTTTGATGTTGATTCCATGATATTTGTAAAAGCGAGCCAATCGCATCAAGAGATCTTCACATTTTGCAAGGGATGCTGGACTTAGGGGGCGGTGATCTATTGGACTGCCACTAAAAAAAGAACAATGTATTTTTATAGAGTAAAGGCTGCAGCAAATATTGGAAAAGGTATTACCAAAATTTTGAAATATACATGGAGAGGAGAGATGTCCAGGAATAATTCTTGAACCTTCATAAATTAGCTTTTTGAGAGCTTTAATCATTATAATTGTATTTTAGATTTGTGATTGTTACCTTGTATCCTGCAGTGCAGACATCTTATTGCCGCAAATTAATGTTAAAAAGTGTGCAACTGTTTATTCAACCAGCCATGTTTAATTTATTTAGGAGTTAGAGTTGACTGTAGGGGGTGGGAACAGGAAGAGATGAAATAATATTCACTCTCCCACCCTCACCCCTCCCTATTTTTTTCACTGTCACCCACCCTCTCAGTACAAATTTCTTTCTCTCCCCAGCCTTTTCCTTCCAGTAGAATCAAAGACGACGGCCATAATTTTTGCTTAGAAAATACTGAGCAGAAATTATCACTTAAATTATGCCTGGCTAGTTACCTTGCTGCTGGACCAATCTGCTGTGTAGCTGGATCTTCATTCAAAATGTCAGGATCAAACACTGTAGACAAGATACATATTCTTATGCTTTATGCTGATTTTTATGTTTTTCATGTAATAAACTCAACTGACTAAGACAGACTTAAGCCTTAGACGAACAACTTACCTGCACCAATGACCTCACAGAAATGTCGGTAGTTCACCAATCCCTTACGTTTAGCCTCAGGGCTGCCATATTTTTCCATTAACTTTGCATCATCCTCAGGACTCAACACAATACCAAACAACTGATCCAAGCAGCGGTCAAATTGAGACTCTATGACAAGGCAAAAAAAGTGTCCAATCATTGAATGATCTTAGAACTTATATCTTTCAGTTGCTATGTACGCTATGATTGATCAACATTTCACCATAATTTGGTCATATCTGACCAAGAGCGAATGGAGGATAAACTCTGATGAAGGGCTAATGCTAAAAATGTCAGCTTTTTAACTCTTTATGGTGACCATTTTACTACTTCAACTTAATTGATATAACCAAATTACCTTGTTACCCCCACCAATGCAGTACCACAGTTTCCTTAGAAACTAATTACCCCCTTTAAATTTAAAAGTTTGTTTGAATTGAAATATTTCCCCCTATATTTTAACCCAGAAATACAATAAATATTTTTGCTAACCTTGTTTTCTTGGTATATACTGTAAATTACGTCAGAACCTATTTTTTCCCCTTGGATCTAAGGCCAACGCGCTTCGCGCTTGGGCCATAATACCATGATGAAAAAGATCACGAGTCTGTAATTTACAGTAAGGACCTCGAACTCAGTTAGTTAGAGGTATGTATTTTCTGAATATTAGTTTAAAATGGTAACTATTAGTTTGTAATAATGCATACCGATGTGAAAAAGCCAGGACAAACTTACTTGTTATGAAGCCCGTTCTGAGACGATCAAAATCCTTGAAGTATTCTGTCAGTCTAACTTTTCTGGAATTGACAATGTTTCTTATTTTGTCTTCGATATCCTTGAGTTGTAATGGGCTGNAAATTATGCCTGGCTAGTTACCTTGCTGCTGGACCAATCTGCTGTGTAGCTGGATCTTCATTCAAAATGTCAGGATCAAACACTGTAGACAAGATACATATTCTTATGCTTTATGCTGATTTTTATGTTTTTCATGTAATAAACTCAACTGACTAAGACAGACTTAAGCCTTAGACGAACAACTTACCTGCACCAATGACCTCACAGAAATGTCGGTAGTTCACCAATCCCTTACGTTTAGCCTCAGGGCTGCCATATTTTTCCATTAACTTTGCATCATCCTCAGGACTCAACACAATACCAAACAACTGATCCAAGCAGCGGTCAAATTGAGACTCTATGACAAGGCAAAAAAAGTGTCCAATCATTGAATGATCTTAGAACTTATATCTTTCAGTTGCTATGTACGCTATGATTGATCAACATTTCACCATAATTTGGTCATATCTGACCAAGAGCGAATGGAGGATAAACTCTGATGAAGGGCTAATGCTAAAAATGTCAGCTTTTTAACTCTTTATGGTGACCATTTTACTACTTCAACTTAATTGATATAACCAAATTACCTTGTTACCCCCACCAATGCAGTACCACAGTTTCCTTAGAAACTAATTACCCCCTTTAAATTTAAAAGTGTGTTTGAATTGAAATATTCCCCCCTATATTTTAACCCAGAAATACAATAAATATTTTTGCTAACCTTGTGTTCTTGGTATATACTGTAAATTACGTCAGAACCTATTTTTTCCCCTTGGATCTAAGGCCAACGCGCTTCGCGCTTGGGCCATAATACCATGATGAAAAAGATCACGAGTCTGTAATTTACAGTAAGGACCTCGAACTCAGTTAGTTAGAGGTATGTATTTTCTGAATATTAGTTTAAAATGGTAACTATTAGTTTGTAATAATGCATACCGATGTGAAAAAGCCAGGACAAACTTACTTGTTATGAAGCCCGTTCTGAGACGATCAAAATCCTTGAAGTATTCTGTCAGTCTAACTTTTCTGGAATTGACAATGTTTCTTATTTTGTCTTCGATATCCTTGAGTTGTAATGGGCTGCTGAAGCTCTAAAGGGTGCAACCAACAAATAATTTAACTCACACTTTTATCAGCTGGGGGAGGCATAGTGGCCTCATGGTTAGTGTGCTCAACTCTGGATGGAGTGGTCCGGGTTGGAGCCCTGGCCGAGGACATTGTGTTGAGTTCTTGGGCAAGACACTTTACTCTCACAGTGCCTCTCTTCACCCAGGCGTATAAATGGGTACTGGCAAATTTAATGCTGGGGGGGGTAACCCTGCAATGGACTAGCATCCCATCCAGGGGGGAGTAGAATTATTTTTAGTCACTTCACACTAAGGAAACCAGATTTAAGTGCCGGCCTGATGGACCACTTGGCTTGTAAACAGACTTTAATTTACTTCTTTTTTCTTTTATCAGTTGATTTAAATAGGGATTTTGGAAAAGAAATGGAAATTTCCCTGTACTATCAAAAGTTTATCAAAAGGAAACTAACTTGTTTCATTTTCAAGAATAGGTCGTTTTGGAAACGACAACAGAGTGTTAATCGATGTAGAAAATTTAAAAAAAGGCTTTAGTAATAAATGATGCAGTTTAGCTGGATCAAGTACAACTGACACACATCAAGTACAACTGACACACATCAAGTATTCCAGATGCTAAATAAATCAAAGCGTTTTCGCTGCGTATCATTTAAGAGAAAAACAAATGAGGTACAAGCGACAGAATTTCACGATTAAACAAGAAAAATGCCTTCTTTTCATCTTACGTCCAGTTCTGCGATTTTGCTAAATACAGGGGGCTTTTTTAATTAACAGCTACAAGACATCACAAGAAAGTTTAAAAACTCATAATTTTGCGGGCGAACTTTCAGTCCCACTTCAGGCCAACAAACTTACCGCATTCTCGTAAGAAT